TGTCATCACCAGTTTCTGAATTATCAATTTTTTAATAACTGGCATACAAGAGAACTTGCAAGCCTAAAGGTATGTATTATGTTTTATTCGAATTGTAGCTAACTCCACCATAAAATTCTATAGCTAAATCTGTTACTGTCACCCAGAGGCAGGAAACACTAACACTGCATACAGGTGCTACTGCCAAAGCTACCCTAGGAAAATTCCTGCTACTGCTGAATATTGTCATATCTGAGACAAAAATATGAGCAGTGTTTTATTGATTTTTAAATAGTGACTAAATTTTTTAATTAATGATTTAACAATTACTATAAAGAAGGAAGAGGAATAGAAAAAAAATATTAATAATCTAGATCCATTATAATGCCATTTTAGGCTCCGAAGGCACCTAATCTGGAAGTTASAGAGGGTTCCTCCAAAAAGCCTGTCCAGATGATTTTGGCAAATTATTCAGATACACAACACTAAAATGGCAAAAGCATCACTTACACAGAACAAGAAATCAGAGCRATTGTTGTGTCTACTAAATGAGATGTGTTATTGCTTTGTTCAGARGTGGATCCTCAAAAGCAAATTCTGACTCTGATGTCCAAGTTCATCCATGGAATATGCTCATAAGCCACCTCCTCACCATCATTTTTCCTTCTCAGCTCTTACTCATTATTTTCCCCAAAAGTGCAATCTAGCAAAAATAGAAAAACCTTGTCCCTTTGATCTTCAGTTGGGTTCCCTTAATATTCCAGATGGGGAAACAACAATCCATGAGTTACAGTAAAGAAAAATTCTGTATTTGTTATAACTCACAAATGGTTTCCTGTTACTACAGCAATTAAGGCACGAAAGGATGCTGACTCGTGCACTGCTAAATATAAACCTGGCTGTCAGGCCCTTCAGTCACATGCCCAGCAGAGGGAAAGCAGGACGAAGCTCTGACACAAACAGACAGAGGAGCTGATAGAAAATGTCTCTACTACTCTGGAAAGGGTAACYATGTCCAAACAAATATTCTGTAAAAACACAAATGGGATAGTATTTTTTTAATATTCCCTGTAACACTATAGAGAATTACACAATGATTATGTTGCATCACCCTCCCTGAAAAACCTTGAAGTAGTAGGACATTATCACCTTTATTTGAAACTTTTCTTAYATGTACTGGACAAAGAGATAAAATAGCTTTGAAGGAGTGCAGTTTGCTCCCTGGCCAATCAATTCCTTTCAGAACAAACCCCAGAAGAGACTTCAGGCTTAGTTCACTCTGCAATCCCCTGCAGTGACTATACAACACACTTATCCTATTACCCCTTCTAAAAATGTGACATAACATTCATACCCTTTTAACAAAACAGAGAGACCTAAGGTGGAAACCTCCACAGGAAATGTAGGAGAAAGCATAAAATGCAAACAGATATCCAGAGGCTCAAATCACTGTCCTCATCATTAAGAGAGTTTTACCCCGATTTAATCCCGATCTCTAT